AAGGCAGGCATTTTTATTCTGAGAACCAGCAACACTGAAGCTTTCCCATCGTGGTGCAGAATTTGCAGTCTGGAATTTTATTGGAAGTCAGCGAGGACACACAGAGGACGGGGAAAAGATACAAACTGCGTTTGCATGGTGTTTGCATCAGTGTCATTGGTTGCATTGTGTTTGGCAACTTGGGGGGTTTTATTATGAAATTTGTTCATTCAGAGGTGGGGGGTGTGTGTGTGTGTGTGCGCACATGCACGCATACCTGGGCCCTGCTTACAGAGCCCGAAGTGCACGTGTTTCGGCAGCAGCTGAGTACATCTGCCACCTGACCCTGGTTGATGTTGACCCTCAGGAGCAGTTGTCTGTTTCATCACACCGACCAAGCTTGGCGTCATTCATTGATCTAGCATATCTTTACTGAGGCCCTACTATGCGCCCAGCACGTACTACGTGCCAAGGATACAATGAAGACTAGAATGAGCCCTTGCTTTGAAGAAGGGTTGACAGGCAGACGTGCCAGTCAGTGCAGGGTTCTAGCCGCTGGAACCGCCCCCTGGGTATGGCCATTTCTTGATGTCCACTGGAGACCAATGACTCCAGGTTCCGCCCCAGCGGGTCCTTGCTCATCTCCCTGTAGGTGGCAAGTGCAATGACCGTCATCTTCGTGTGTCAGTTTGATCGCAGACCTTTTCTGCAGCACAACGCCTGGTTGCCTCTTCTGCTCAGATTTACTGTTCTTGTCCTTCCCAGTCCTGATGCCCAGCGCTCCGCCCTGCCAGGCCCATCCTCACCTTGCCCCCTACACGGCGTCCTCTCCTTCGGTCATCACGGGGCAGCCCCTCACTGCTGCTCCCCCCAAAATTGCCACCCCTCACCCTCCAGCCGCAAGTCCTAGAACTCTTGGCTGCTTGGCGAATCTCAGCTTTTTCCTCCAAGTCTTTCTTGATGCTTTTGCCCTTTAGGACTAATCATTACAAGAATGTCCCTTTTTCCTACTCATTTTGCACTTTATTTTTTTTAACTTTTTAAAAAAATATCTGCCATTTTGTCTTCTTAAGCCACTCTGTTCTCCTAACTGCCTAACTTTGAACACTTGGCTGTTAAACAGAGATTTTTATTCCTGACATGATAATTGATTTGCCCGCTGATTGCTTTAAGTTTTGGCTCATTTCCCCAAAGACTTTTGCTTCTAGGGGAATCTCAAGGGCCACATCCTGTGTGTGTTGAACTCTGCATGGAATGTGCCAGAAATGGTCCCTGCACGGGTCAGACTCCTCCTCTGGTGATGCTGCGTCCTGTCCTCTCTGATTGTGATGGTCTCTCTCTCTTACTGAGGAAACCACCCTACCTCTGTCATGCTGCCTACTTGGGAAATTCTCTTTGGCAGAGAGTGACATGATCACTTTGAAAAGATGGCATCCTGGGGCCACTTAGGGGCCCCTGCAGTAGCTCCTGAGAGAAGAGGACCAGGGGAGGAGAATGGAGATGGCAGGTGTGGTCAGATTCAGGTTCAGTTTCAGAGGAAACCCTGCAGACTCTGGCCAGGGCTTTGAGGTAGGGTAAGAGACACTGACCGGTGCCCTGGGGTCTGAGTAACTGGGTGAGTCATGGACTTACTGAGACACAGGACCTTGAGAGGAGAGCAGATCTGGGTGGGGGCAGGGGATTTCCAGAGTTCAGGTTTTCAGATGTTACATTTGAGATGCCAGTTGAGGGGCGAGTAGGCAGGTGGACATAAGAGTTACAGCTATGGCAACAAAGGTCTGGACTGGAGACAGTGCACGGGGAAGGTGCTGAGGGCCATGGGGCTGCTGGGTCCCGGGGAGGGAAGACAGGGGAGGACAGAGCCCTGGAGTTCTCTGATGCTTACAGGTGAGGCAGGTGACCCAGGGCGCCTTGGAGAGTCTGAGCGCACTGCAGCCCCAGCGGTGTTGTGACACTGCCTGATTCGTGTTTCTTGTTTCCTCTTTCCCTCTAAACAGCTTTACATCCAGCCCATGATGGGGGCTGGCCTGAATTACGAATGTTACCGGTTCGGCATCTCGCCGTCCACGAACGCGCTGGTGATCGGTGCTACCGTGATGGAGGGCTTCTACGTGGTCTTTGACAGAGCTCGGAAGCGGGTGGGCTTCGCAGCCAGCCCCTGTGCAGGTGAGCGATGCTCGCGTCGGGCGGGGAGGCCTGACGAGAGCGCTTCATGCCAGGTGTAAGCAACTCTTAGGGACAAATCAGTTGTCGCTGAATTATTTCGTCATACCTGCGATCAGCGATTAGTCTTATCAATAAAATGTACCATGGGATTGCAGAGAGGAACGGGCGAGAATGATCCATGGCAAACTTGTTTGTTTGTTTTTGAATTAAAATTTTAATTTTAGAATAGTTTTAGATTTACTGATAAATTGTTAAGAGTGCAGAGTTCCCATACACCCACCCCCAATTTCCCACTGAACAGTTTATATTTGTACGGTGTATTTGTCACGATAAGTGAACCAGTATTAGTACATCATTATTGCTGTGAAAGGCAGCCTCGTGCACGCAATTTTCAGCCTCCATTCAGCCACGTAAGAATGAGCGTTGGGCTGGAATACCGCCCTACCGAGAGAGAAAAGCCATACAGCCTGTTCTGGGTTCATCACTTTGGGCGGGAATGTGGTTTCTGTTTTAGGTGCAGTGAGTGTACCTCTGTTCTGCTGAAGCATGAATGTCAAAGGCCCCCAGCTCTCAGTATTCCTAGATGCTGTGGGGAAGGGTTAGGGTCTTTCCCCGGCAACACCAGAAGGGCGCACATAGGACAGTTGCCCAGCATCAGTGATGGGAAGGAGCCACCGGCCGGGGACCTGTGCCCCCCGTTGAAACTGACCAGGCTCCGTCTCTCTGCTGTGTGGCAAAGCATCGCTCTGGCCGGTCTCTGATAATGTTGTATTTTCCTTGATGCACGGCAAACTTTTAGCCCAGTGCTTGGCACATGGCAAATACACAATAAACGTTAGTTATTACAGTTATCTCTCACATTAAACTTAAAACGGCACTTCATACCAGCAGTGAAAATCCTCTATGGGACCTTGGGGATGAATTTCAGGTTTTTGACGGTGAAAGCAAGATGAATAAATAGAAACTTCATAGATAAGCTGTGTGTACTTTTTCCTCAAAGATAATAGCCTCTGTGAGAAATAAGAAGTAAACACCTGTCATTGTTATTTCCCGAAGTCCTGAAATAATGAGAACAAGGAGCCTGTTCGTCTCATAGAACTTTCTTTTAACTGAAGCACAGTTGATTTGCAAGTGCTGTGTTAGTTTCAGGGGTACAGCAAAGTGATTGGGTTATACGTGTGTCTGATGTGTGTGTGTGGGTATATATATTCTTTTTTGATTCTTTTCCACTATAGCTTATGACGAGATACTGAATATAGTTCCCTGTGTTACACAGTAGACCTTTGCTGTTTGGCTGTCTTGTATACAACAGTGTGCGTCTGTTCAGTCCATACTCCCAATTTATCCCTCCTGCCCCCATGGAATTTTTTTTTGGAGAGATGGTATGAGGGTGACCCAGCAGTGTTATTCTGCAAAGTCTAGCTGGAAGACTAGGTGGATCTTCAGAGAAACCAGGAGAGACCAATAAAGTTGATAGGACGGTTAACGCCCGTCCACCTGGAAATGCCTGCAGAGTTAGCAGCATGCTTGAAGTGGAGTGTTCCCACAGCACACGGTTTAGTGGGAGGATCAGGTCCTTTGATGAATAGCCCGAGCCAGCGAGGAAAAGGCAAATCACAGAAGTGCAGGAGATGGAATTGTGGGGGGAGTGGAGAAAGAGCACCCAGGGGGAGGCAGGGAGGGCTGCGGCGCCTAAGATTGGGTTTCAGAGGACCAAAAGCATCCTGGGACATTGGATTTGGGGTCAGGAACAGAAGGAAATCCCAAAGCCGTGCTGGTACCATGCTAAGGGGGAGAACCATTAAGAAACGTGAGAAACTTGGGGGAGGGTAGAGCTCACTGGTAGAGTGTGTGCTTAGCATGCACGAGGTCCTGGGTTCCATCCCCAGTAGCTCCATTAAAAAAAAAAAGTACCAGGGTTAAAGGGGAATTCATAAATTGGGAATTTGAAAATTGCACCTTTTGGGGAGTGAAGGAAATGTTAGCTGTCCTCATGGTGGTAGTGGTTTCATTGGTGTGTCCATCTGTCAGAATACATCAAAGAATACATCTGAAATATGTAAGTATGTGTAGTTTACTGTGCAGGAACCATACCACAATGAAGGTGGTAAAAATAATTTTTAAAAAATGAGACAGGGAAAGAACTGACAACCAAAAATTGGGGGTTGTAGCGAAATCCAAGACCCCCATGGAGTGAAGGAAAAGAAGTATGAATTTGATGGGAAAAAAAGTCCTAAACATGAGATGGCGTTGTGGGACAGGCAGGGATGCCGGCTGACCGCGCTGGCAGCCTCAGCTCTGACCAGACTTTTGCTGATTTAAAACCACCTGAGGAGTTTGGAGGAGAGCCAGGGAGGGGAGGGTGTGCAGGCAGGATGCCAGGTGATCGCAGCTGATTTATTCGGGAGGTGAGGTATGTTCAGTTATTATTTCTAACTATCACAATCGTGGTCTTCAAACAGGAGCCAGGTAAATAAAGCAGTTAAGTGATGCTTTATAGCCTTGTTCCAACACGCTGTCTATCCCCACAAAGTAAAATAAGAGTTTGGAGAACAGAAGAAGAGAAATGTTAAGTGGAAAAATTGTATCTGGAACATTAGGTCAGTTCATATTCCATGTAAATAAAATCACCCAACCCCATGTACATATTTGGAAAGTTGCCATATATCTTCTTAAATACCAGTGCAGATTTCTTTGATTTTGTATCAGTGAACAGACTCCCCATATTCTTGAGACTTGCCATGTTTTTATCTTAGTCACGAGTAACTGTTTACTTTTCAGATGCGTATTAACTCTTTCAGTCTGTTAGGTTATCATTGGAAGAGACCTTTCTCTGTGGCTCCCAACTATGAATATTTTCCTTCTGTTAATGCAGAGGATCTAAGAGCTACAGCACTTCCCCCACAAGTCCTGTTCTCTGGTTAACTGCCACTCAAGCAGAGGGTACTATGGCAACAGCTGCTGCATCGTCCACTGTAGTTAAAACAGCAGAGAGCGTCATCACCACATGTTTCCCGGGTGAATTGCTGTTGGAAATAGTTTAATATTAAGCATCTCCAAGCAAAGCAGCATTCTTCCCTGCATTTCATCGTGAATCCTCTGTTAGGTGCTCTTATACAAGTTCTTTGTTGCTGTTTTTTAAAGCTGTGTTTAAGGTCAGGGTACTTAAACGTTAGGTATTATAGGCGATGGGAATATTCCATGATATGCCTCCTCTTTAGTGCAAATTGTTTAGCCGTTCAAGTAATTACTTCCCTCAGGACAGCAATTAGGAGCCAGACTGTGGTCTAAAGCGGCACCATTGTCAATGGAAAAGATACCCTGCCTTTTTTTGTCCTTTTTAAAAAGTGTTTATTTTTAAGTTATAACATGTTTTATATAACAAAATGTTTTAAGTTGCAAGAAATCCTGTACTGTGTACACACTTATGGAGCACCCAGATTTAACAAATGCTAACATTTTGTCATGTTTTCTTCAAAATTTTGTCACAGAAATAAAAACAAATATGGCTTACACCCTATCCCACCGCCTTCCCCAGGAATACTCTTTATCCTGAAATTGGTGTATGTTCTTCTCATAATCACTGTGCACTTACAATTTCACTGCGTGGTTATCAGTACCTGGGATTGGTAATCTATTGCTGTGTAACAATTAACCCCAAATTTAGAAGCATCCTGGGGCTTTGTGCAGGTGCTGAGGGCCAGGAGTCCAGGGGGAGTCTAACTGGGTGGCTCCGGCCCAGGGTCTCCTGCGAGGCTGCAGCCGCCTGAAGGCTGGAAGGGCCACCTCCAAGCTGCCTCGCATGGCTGTTTGGAGAAGCCCTCTTTTCCCACCACGTGGACTCATCACAGGCCTGTCTGAATGTCTTCAAGGTGGGGCACTGGTCGCCCCAGAGCAAGAGACCCCAGAGAGAGAGACAGCCCAACAGAGCCCCAGCACAGAACCACAGGTGTTTATAACCTGATCTCAGGGGCGATGTGCTGTCCCCGCTGCCCCGTTCCCACGTCTCGCAGAGCAGCCCTGGGGCCAGGCGGGTGGCGGCTTCGCTGCACAGGAGGGCACAGCAGGCAGCAGGGCTGGCGGGGGCCACCTTAAAGCTGCCTGCCGTGTCCCTGTGGAGAAGTGCTCGCAGCTGAACATGGGGTGGTTGGTTTGGGCCTTTTGCTACTTTTTAATTCCCGTGAGCTCCGTGGTGGTGCGCACACACTGTCAGTTTGCCTTCACTGCTCAGCGTTACGGTTGCTGGATTTTCCGTGACCAGTTCGTCTGTAAATTCAGTGCAGTCATGATCTGCAAATAACACATTTTTTTAATAATTTCTCATTTTAGATCTTTGTTTATATCTTTATATCTTTTATTTTTCTTCTGTGATGCCTTTAGAGGCAACATTGAATAGAAATGGTGATGGACGTTTTTGTCTCTTTTCTTACTTTAATCAGAATAGTCATCGTCCTGCACCACGGAGCGTGGTGCACTGGATAGGTTCGTGGAATCTCCTTCTAATTCTCCGTTAAGGGATTCCCAGCTGCTGAAATTGTTTAGTATGAATGAAAAAAATGACATTTTCTACTAGTGTTAAACATACTCGTCCTCAGTGACCCAGCAAGGTCGCTCCCAGGTGTGTGCAAAGGGGAGATGCAATGACCACCCACAGACTTGACCAGAAGCAGCTTTGTTCATAAAACTAACCGAAAGGCTGCTTTCATTTAGCAATTACGTGAAACGGTCACTCTCATCAAACTGAAAAACAGCCCACAGTCCTCCAAAAGAGAATGGATAAACAAGTTGTTTACACTACACAGCAATGTTCTTTCTGCTGAAGAATGAATTTCTCTTATAAAAGTCTGTGGAAGGTAAATTTTATTTCGCCGCAACTCTTGAATCATAATTGAGCTGCGTGCAGATCTAAGTCTGCCGTCTTCCCTTAGTGTTTTGAAGATGCTGTGTCCTTAATCTCCTGCCTTCACAGTTGCTGATGAACAGAACTCGGTGAGTTTCAG